GGCAAGTGCTCGGAGCGCCGGCTGGTAGTCGTCAGCGGATGCGACGCTTGCTACGGTGGATAGAGCAGTGATGGCGAGAGCGGTGATCTTCATGGTCGAGTTCGTCTGTCGCTTGGTCGGTCAGTCGGTCGGTCGGTCGGTCGAGTCGATAACTTCCTCGCTGCGTGGTGCACTGGCAGTGTCAATTGGATAGTGAGTGAGTGAGATCGGTAGACGAGCTCGCGAGTGGGCTGGTGTTGTGACGGGTAAATGGTCACGAACCGTCATGGTGACTGCTTCAGTTGATTGAGCTGATCAAGCTGATGGTCGGAAAGCCCGCGTGTTTCGATCATGTTTCCAGCCGCGAGCGTGAAAGGCATCTTTGAGTCACGTTTGTGTTTGTCCGTTTCTTTGCGAATGTGGTAGCTGATTCCTGGCTGGTTCCGATACTCATCGATTCGTGGTGCATGCTACGAGTTGGCCACGAACAGTACGATGGAGGCCGATGTCAGTGTTTGTTTCTTGATTTGCGTCGAGAGTCGTGTTGTACTGTGTCTACATCCGTCTTGACGTAGTGGCCAGAGATGATGACCTTGCCGTAGTGTTCAACCTTGTCGTAGTGTTCAACACCAGCTTCAACCTGGCGACCGATACCGATGACGTGTTGACGTCTGTCGATACTCTCAATGCATGTTTGGTGGAAATGAAGTGGAATGCAAGCGTCTGCTTTGGGATATTGCAAAGGGTACGGCAATTCATAGCGCTTGGTTTACGACTACAAGAAAGTATGGCAATCACTGAGCAGGAATGGAGCGATTGAATGGAGCAAGTCAATATCAGTAGGAGCAAGTCAATATCAGTAAGAGCGAACGTGTCAATACGAACAAGCGGGTCGGAACGTGTGACTCAGAAGATTTGATCGAGGCCAATTGATCGAGGCGAGTTGATCTGAACGTGTGCATCTTATCGTAATGATGGGGAAGGCTGACTACGACGTGCTGCAACATCTCGGAAGTATGCAGCGCCAAGCTTGCACCGAGCCGTTGCACTCAACACAAAAAGGTAGTCGAGCGTGTGTTTCATTGACGCGATCTGTTGAACCAATGTGGCGACCAGAACAACATTGGACGAACTCAGAGCGTTAGAGAACAAAGCGAGGCTGAATGAGCATGCCGATTTCCATTTGATTGGCTACATTGCAGTCGCCTTGTTCTGTCCCGTTCGTGTGAGAGTGCGGCAGGTTGCAAGCGTGTCGATGGTGTCTTTGATGTGTGACGTCTACCATCCCCAGCCGCCACCGTATCCACCCCAGCCACCACCGTAACCACCCCAGGGACGCCCCCATCCATAACCTCCCCAGCGATGTCCCCATCCCGGTCGTCCCCACCACTCCTTGGCCTTCTTGCTGTCATCGCCGACATTATGCTCCGTGTTGGCAGCTGCAGCAGCAGCCTCCACAGGAGGAGAGGATTGTTGCTTGGTCGGGTTGGAAGCTAGTGTGTCGGCAATGGGTGCAGTTGGCTCCTGTGCGGCAAGTGCTCGGAGCGCCGGCTGGTAGTCGTCAGCGGATGCGACGCTTGCTACGGTGGATAGAGCAGTGATGGCGAGAGCGGTGATCTTCATGGTCGAGTTCGTCTGTCGCTTGGTCGGTCAGTCGGTCGGTCAGTCGAGTCGATAACTTCCTCGCTGCGTGGTGCACTGGCAGTGTCAATTGGATAGTGAGTGAGTGGGATCGGTAGACGAGCTCGCGAGTGGGCTGGTGTTGTGACGGGTAAATGGTCACGAACCGTCATGGTGACTGCTTCAGTTGATTGAGCTGATCAAGCTGATGGTCGGAAAGCCCGCGTGTTTCGATCATGTTTCCAGCCGCGAGCGTGAAAGGCATCTTTGAGTCACGTTTGTGTTTGTCCGTTTCTTTGCGAATGTGGTAGCTGATTCCTGGCTGGTTCCGATACTCATCGATTCGTGGTGCATGCTACGAGTTGGCCACGAACAGTACGATGGAGGCCGGTGTCAGTGTTTGTTTCTTGATTTGCATCGGGAGTCGTGTTGTACTGTGTCTACATCCGTCTTGACGTAGTGGCCAGAGATGATGACCTTGTCGTAGTGTTCAACCTTGTCGTAGTGTTCAACACCAGCTTCAACCTGGCGACCGATACCGATGACGTGTTGACGTCTGTCGATACTCTCAATGCATGTTTGGTGGAAATGAAGTGGAATGCAAGCGTCTGCTTTGGGATATTGCAAAGGGTACGGCAATTCATAGCGCTTGGTTTACAGCTGCGAGAAAGTATGGCAATCACTGAGCAGGAATGGAGCGATCGAATGGAGCAAGTCAATATCAGTAGGAGCAAGTCAATATCAGTAAGAGCGAACGTGTCAATACGAACAAGCGGGTCGGAACGTGTGACTCAGAAGATTTGATCGAGGCCAATTGATCGAGGCGAGTTGATCTGAACGTGTGTATCTTATCGTAATGATGGGGAAGGCTGACTACGACGTGCTGCAACATCTCGGAAGTATGCAGCGCCAAGCTTGCACCGAGCCGTTGCACTCAACACAAAAAGGTAGTCGAGCGTGTGTTTCATTGACGCGATCTGTTGAACCAATGTGGCGACCAGAACAACATTGGACGAACTCAGAGCGTTAGAGAACAAAGCGAGGCTGAATGAGCATGCCGATTTCCATTTGATTGGCTACATTGCAGTCGCCTTGTTCTGTCCCGTTCGTGTGAGAGTGCGGCAGGTTGCAAGCGTGTCGATGGTGTCTTTGATGTGTGACGTCTACCATCCCCAGCCGCCACCGTATCCACCCCAGCCACCACCGTAACCACCCCAGGGACGCCCCCATCCATAACCTCCCCAGCGATGTCCCCATCCCGGTCGTCCCCACCACTCCTTGGCCTTCTTGCTGTCATCGCCGACATTATGCTCCGTGTTGGCAGCTGCAGCAGCAGCCTCCACAGGAGGAGAGGATTGTTGCTTGGTCGGGTTGGAAGCTAGTGTGTCGGCAATGGGTGCAGTTGGCTCCTGTGCGGCAAGTGCTCGGAGCGCCGGCTGGTAGTCGTCAGCGGATGCGACGCTTGCTACGGTGGATAGAGCAGTGATGGCGAGAGCGGTGATCTTCATGGTCGAGTTCGTCTGTCGCTTGGTCAGGTCGTCAGTCGGTCGGTCGGTCGAGTCGATAACTTCCTCGCTGCGTGGTGCACTGGCAGTGTCAATTGGATAGTGAGTGAGTGAGATCGGTAGACGAGCTCGCGAGTGGGCTGGTGTTGTGACGGGTAAATGGTCACGAACCGTCATGGTGACTGCTTCAGTTGATTGAGCTGATCAAGCTGATGGTCGGAAAGCCCGCGTGTTTCGATCATGTTTCCAGCCGCGAGCGTGAAAGGCATCTTTGAGTCACGTTTGTGTTTGTCCGTTTCTTTGCGAATGTGGTAGCTGATTCCTGGCTGGTTCCGATACTCATCGATTCGTGGTGCATGCTACGAGTTGGCCACGAACAGTACGATGGAGGCCGATGTCAGTGTTTGTTTCCTGGTTTGCATCGGGAGTCGTGTTGTACTGTGTCTACATCCGTCTTGACGTAGTGGCCAGAGATGATGACCTTGCCGTAGTGTTCAACCTTGTCGTAGTGTTCAACACCAGCTTCAACCTGGCGACCGATACCGATGACGTGTTGACGTCTGTCGATACTCTCAATGCATGTTTGGTGGAAATGAAGTGGAATGCAAGCGTCTGCTTTGGGATATTGCAAAGGGTACGGCAATTCATAGCGCTTGGTTTACAGCTGCGAGAAAGTATGGCAATCACTGAGCAAAAATGGAGCGATCGAATGGAGCAAGCCACTATCAGTTGGAGCAAGTCACTATCAGTAAGAGCGAACGTGTCAATACGAACAAGCGGGTCGGAACGTGTGACTCAGAAGATTTGATCGAGGCCAATTGATCGAGGCGAGTTGATCTGAACGTGTGTATCTTATCGTAATGATGGGGAAGGCTGACTACGACGTGCTGCAACATCTCGGAAGTATGCAGCGCCAAGCTTGCACCGAGCCGTTGCACTCAACACAAAAAGGTAGTCGAGCGTGTGTTTCATTGACGCGATCTGTTGAACCAATGTGGCGACCAGAACAACATTGGACGAACTCAGAGCGTTAGAGAACAAAGCGAGGCTGAATGAGCATGCCGATTTCCATTTGATTGGCTGCATTGCAGTCGCCTTGTTCTGTCCCGTTCGTGTGAGAGTGCGGCAGGTTGCAAGCATGTCGATGGTGTCTTTGATGTGTGACGTCTACCATCCCCAGCCGCCACCGTATCCACCCCAGCCACCACCGTAACCACCCCAGGGACGCCCCCATCCATAACCTCCCCAGCGATGTCCCCATCCCGGTCGTCCCCACCACTCCTTGGCCTTCTTGCTGTCATCGCCGACATTATGCTCCGTGTTGGCAGCTGCAGCAGCAGCCTCCACAGGAGGAGAGGATTGTTGCTTGGTCGGGTTGGAAGCTAGTGTGTCGGCAATGGGTGCAGTTGGCTCCTGTGCGGCAAGTGCTCGGAGCGCCAGCTGGTAGTCGTCAGCGGATGTGACGCTTGCTACGGTGGATAGAGCAGTGATGGCGAGAGCGGTGATCTTCATGGTCGAGTTCGTCTGTCGCTTGATCAGTCGTCAGTCGGTCGGTCGGTCGGTCGAGTCGATAACTTCCTCGCTGCGTGGTGCACTGGCAGTGTCAATTGGATAGTGAGTGAGTGAGATCGGTAGACGAGCTCGCGAGTGGGCTGGTGTTGTGACGGGTAAATGGTCACGAACCGTCATGGTGACTGCTTCAGTTGATTGAGCTGATCAAGCTGATGGTCGGAAAGCCCGCGTGTTTCGATCATGTTTCCAGCCGCGAGCGTGAAAGGCATCTTTGAGTCACGTTTGTGTTTTTCCGTTTCTTTGCGAATGTGGTAGCTGATTCCTGGCTGGTTCCGATACTCATCGATTCGTGGTGCATGCTACGAGTTGGCCACGAACAGTACGATGGAGGTCGGTGTCAGTGTTTGTTTCTTGATTTGCATCGGGAGTCGTGTTGTACTGTGTCTACATCCGTCTTGACGTAGTGGCCAGAGATGATGACCTTGCCGTAGTGTTCAACCTTGTCGTAGTGTTCAACACCAGCTTCAACCTGGCGACCGATACCGATGACGTGTTGACGTCTGTCGATACTCTCAATGCATGTTTGGTGGAAATGAAGTGGAATGCAAGCGTCTGCTTTGGGATATTGCAAAGGGTACGGCAATTCATAGCGCTTGGTTTACAGCTGCGAGAAAGTATGGCAATCACTGAGCAGGAAATGGAGCGATCGAATGGAGCAAGTCGATATCAGTAGGAGCAAGTCAATATCAGTAAGAGCGAACGTGTCAATACGAACAAGCGGGTCGGAACGTGTGACTCAGAAGATTTGATCGAGGCCAATTGATCGAGGCGAGTTTATCTGAACGTGTGCATCTTATCGTAATGATGGGGAAGGCTGACTACGACGTGCTGCAACATCTCGGAAGTATGCAGCGCCAAGCTTGCACCGAGCCGTTGCACTCAACACAAAGGTGGTGGCGTTTTTTTAAACAAATGTGGTGTTAAAAAAAACAGGGAACAAAAACAAAATTGTAAGAAAACAAAGCGAGGGAGAATAAAATGAGGATTTATATTTGAATGGCTTTTTTTTTAATTAACTTATTATGTAAAAAAGTTGTTGTATAGTGTGGGAGGTTGAGAGGGTGGGTAGAGGGTGTATGGTGTGTGTGATGTGTCAGCCATACCAACCCACCACCCCAACCAATCCACCCCACCAACCAACCCACCCCAGGGACCCCCCCCCATCTATAGCCTCAGCGGTGTTATTTAATCCGGAAGTCATCACCACTCCTTGGCCTTCCTTGCTGTCATCGTCGACATTATGCTCGTGGTAGCAGCTGCAGCAGCCCACAGGAGAAGAGGATTGTTGCTTGGTCGGGTCGGAGAAGTGTGTCGGCAATGGTGCAGTTGGCTCTTTAGGCGGCAAGTGCCGGAGCCGGCTGGTAGTCTTCACGGATGCGATGCGCTTGCTACGGTGGCTGGCGCAGTGATGGCGAGAGACGGGGAAGTCTTCATGGTCGAGTTCGTCTGTCGCTGGTCGGTCGGTCAGTCGAGTCGATAACTTCCTCGCTGCGTGGTGCACTGGCAATGTCAATTGATAGTGAGTTAGTGGATCGGTAGACGAGCTCGCGAGTAGGCTGGTGTTGTGACGAATAAAAATGGGTCACGAACCATTATGGTGACTTGCTTCAGTTGATTGAGTTGATCAAGCTGATGGTCGGAAGGCCCGCGTGTTTCGATCATGTTTCCAGCCACGAGCGTGAAAGGCATCTTGAGTCACGTTTGTGTTTGTCCGTTTCTTTGCGAATGTGGTAGCTGATTCCTGGCTGGTTCCGATACTCATCGATTCGTGGTGCATGCTACGAGTGGGGCCACGAACAGTACGATGGAGGTCGGTGTCAGTGCTTGTTTCTTGATTTGCATCGGTAGTCGTGGTTGCACTGTGTCCACATCCGTATCGACGCTGTGGCCAGAGCTGATGACCTTGTCGTAGTGCTCAACCTTGTCGTAGTGATTCAAGCCACCAGCTTCAACCTGGCGTCGATAATGATGATGAGTGTTGACGTCTATCGATACTTCCTTTAATGCATGTTTGGTGGAAATGAGTGGAGTGCAAGCGTCTGCTTTGGGATATTGCAAAGGGTACACGGCAACTGAGTAGCGCTTGGTTTACAGCTGCGAGAAAGATGGCAAATCACTGAGCAGAGAATGGAGCGATCGAATGGAGCAAGTCAATATCAGTTGAGCAAGTCAGTACCAGTAAGAAGAACGTGCCAATACGAACAAGCGGGTTGAACGTGTGAACCAAAGAGATTTGGATCGAGGCAAATTGATCGAGGCGAGTTGATCGCAAACTGCATCTTATCGTAATGAGGGGGAGGCTGATCTGCGTACACGTGCTGTACCATCTCGGAAGTATGCAGCGCCAAGCTTGCACCGAGCCGTTGCACTCAACACAATAGGTAGTCGAGCATGTGTTTCATTGACGCGATATGTTGAACCAATGTGGCGACCAGAACAACATTGGACGAACCACAGAGCGTTAGAGAACAAAGCGAGGCCGAAATTGAGCAGTAGTGATTTCCATTTGATTGGCTACATTGCAGTCGCCTTGTTCTGTTCCGTCCGTGTGAGAGTGCGGCAGGTTGCAAGCGTGTCGATGGTGTCGGGTTGATGTGTGACGTCTACCATCCCCAGCCGCCACCTATCCACCCCAGCCACCACCGTACCCACCCCAGGGACGCCCCCATCCATAGCCTCCCCAGCGATGTCCCCATCCCGGTCGTCCCCACCACTCCTTGGCCTTCTTGCTGTCATCGTCGACATTATGCTCCGTGTTGGCAGCTGCAGCAGCAGCCTCCACAGGAGAAGAGGATTGTTGCTTGGTCGGGTCGGAAGCAAGCGTGCCCGGCAATGGGTGCAGCTGGTCCTGTGCGGCAAGTGCTCGGAGAAGCCCGCTGGTAGTCGTCAGCGGATGCGACGCTTGCTACGGTGGCTAGCGCAGTGATGGCGAGAGCGGTGATCTTCATGGTCGAGTTCGTCTGTCGCTTGATCGGTCAGTCGCGTCGGTCGGTCGAGTCGATAACTTCCTTCGCTGCGTGGTGCACTGGCAGTGTCAATGGATAGTGAGTGAGTGGGACCGGTAGACGAGCTCGCGAGGCTGGGGCTGGGGACGGGTAAATGGTCACGAACCGTCATGGTGACTGCTTCAGTTGATTGAGTTGACTTGCCAAGGTGGACAGGCCCGGCGTGTTTCGATCATGTTTCCAGCCACGAGCGTGAAAGGCAATTTCGTGTTCCACGTTTGTGTTTTTCCGTTTCTTTGGGAATCGTGGTAGCTGATTCCTGGCTGGTTCCGATACTCATCGATTCGTGGTGCATGCTACGAGGTGGCCACGAACAGTACGATGGAGGTCGGTGTCAGTGTTTGTTTCTTGGTTTGCGTCGGGAGTCGTGTTGTACTGTGTCCACATCCGTATTGACGCTGTGGCCAGAGCTGATGACCTCTTGCCGTGAGAGCGGTACCTTCCTGGTCGTAGTGTTCAACACCAGCTTCAATCCTGGGACTGATATCGATGACAGTGTTGACGTCTGTCGATACTCAATGCATGTTTGGTGGAAATGAAGTGGAATGCAAGTGTTTGCTGATATTGCGGAAAGGGTACTGGTAATTCTTAGCGCTTGGTTCCAACTACGAGAAAGTATGGCAATCACTGTGCAGAAATGGAGCGATCGAATGGAGCTAAGTCAATATCAGTAGGAGCAAGTCAATATCAGTAAGAAGAACGTGCGTCAATACGAACAAGCGGGTCGGAAGTGTGAACTAGAAGATTTGATCGAGGCCAATATCGAAAGCGAGCCGGATCTGAACGTGTATCTTATCGTAATGAGGGGGGAGGTTGCACCACGACCAAAGCTGCAACATCTCGGAAGCTGCAGCGCCAAGCTTGCATCAGAGCCGTTGCACTCAACACAAAAGGTAGTCGAGCATGTGTTTCATTGACGCTGATCCGTTGAACCAATGTGGCGACCAGAACAACATTGACGAACTCAGTGCGTTAGAGAACAAAGCGAGGCTGAATGAGCAGCGATCTTCCACATTTGATTGGCTGCATTGCAGTCGCCTTGTTCTGTCCCGTCCTCGTGTGAGAGTGCGGCAGGTTGCAAGGCGTGTCGATGGTGTCGTTGATGTGTGACGTCTACCATCCCCAGCCGCCACCGTATCCACCACCACCCCAGCCAACATCGCAACTGACCCCAGGACGCCCCCATCCATAGCCTCCCCAGCGATGTCCCCTATCCCGGTCGTCCCCTACCCACTCCTTGGCCTTCTTGCTGTCACTCCCTCGACGACATCATGCTCCCGTGGCAGCTGCAGCAGCAGCCTCCACAGGAGAAGAGGATTGTTGCTTGGTCGGGTCGGAAGCCAGTGTCGGCAAGGGATGGTAGTTGGCTCCTGTGCGGCAAGTGCTCGGAGCACTGGCTGGTAGTCGTCAGCGGATGCGACGCTTGCTACGGTGGCTAGCGCAGTGATGGCGAGAGCGGTGATCTTCATGGTCGAGTTCGTCTGTCGCTTCATCGGTCAGTCGGTCAGTCGAGTCGATAACTTCCTCGCTGCGTGGTGCACTGGCAGTGCCAATTGGATAGTGAGTGAGTGGGATCGGTAGACGAGCTCGCGAGTAGGCTGGTGTTGTCGACAGGGTAAATGGTCACGAACCATCATGGTGACTGCTTCAGTTGATTGAGTTGATCAGCTGATGGTCGGAAGGGCCCGCGTGTTTCGACCATGTTTGCCAGCCACGAGCGTGAAAGGCTATTTCGAGTCACCGTTTCGTGTTTTTCCGTTTCTATGAATGTGGTAGCTGATTCCCTGGCTGGTTCCGATACTCATCGATTCGTGGTGCATGCTAAGAGGTGGCCACGAACAGTACGATGGAGGTCGGTGTCAGTGCTTGTTTCTTGATTTGCATCGGGAGTCGTGTTGTACTCGTGTCCACATCCGTATCGACGCTGTGGCCAGAGCTGATGACCTTGTCGTAGTGTTCAACCTTGTCGTAGTGTTCAACACTCAGCTAACCTGGCGACCGATATCGATGACAGTGTTGACGTCTGTCGATACTCTCAATGCATGTTTGCGGAAATGAAGTGGAATGCAAGCGTCTGCTTTGGGAGAAAGGGTACGGCAATTCAGCGCTTGGTTTACAGCTACAAGAAAGTATAAATCACTGAGCAGAAATGGAGCAGATCGAACGGAGGCAAGTCAATACTCAGTAGGAGCAAGTCAATATCAGTAAGAGGGAACGTGTCAAACGAACAAGCGGAAGTCTGAAATGTGTGAATCAGAAGAAGTTGATCGGAAAAAGCAAATTGATCGAGGCGGAGTCGTGATCTAACGTGTATCTTATCGTATGAGGGAGGCTGTCCGGGACGTGCCAACATCTCAGGGTTGCAGCGCCAAGCTTGCACCGAGCCGTTGCACTCAACACGTAAAGTGCTGTAGTCGAGCGTGTGCGTTTCATTGACGCGATATGTTGAACCAATGTGGCAACCAGAACAACATTGGACGAACTCAGAGCGTTGAGAACAAAGCGAGGCTGAATGACTGGCTTGCGATTTCCATTCGCAGTGGCCATACATTGCAGTCGCCTTGTTCTGTTCCGTCCAAAGAGAGTGCGGCAGGTTGCAAAGCGTGCTCGATGGTGTCGTGGATGATGTGACGTCTACCGTCCCGCCGCCACCGTATCCACCCCCAGCCACTACCGTAGCCACCCCCAGGGTTGGCCCCATCCATAGCCTCCCCCAGCGATGTATCCCTATCCCGGTCGTCCCCACCACTCCTTGACCTTCTTGCTGTCATCGTCGACATCATGCTCCGTGTTGGCAGCTGCAGCAGCATCCTCCACAGGAGAAGAGGATTGTTGACGGTCGGGTCGGAAGCAAGTGTGTCGGCAATGGGTGCGGTGGTCTTCCTGTGCGGCAAGTGCTCCGGAGAGCCGGCTGGTAGTCGTCAGCGGATGCGACGCGCTAAGCCGGTGGCTAGCGCAGTGATGGTGAGAGCGGTGATTCATGGTCGAGTTCATCAGTCGCTTGATCGGTCAGTCGTCAAAAGGTCGGTCGGTCTAGTCGATAACTCCTCGCTGCGTGGTCACTGGCAGTGCGTCAATTGATAGTGAGTGAGTGGGATCGGTAGACGCTCACGAGTGGGCTGGTGTTATGACGGGTAAATGGTCACGAACCGTCATGGTGACAGCTTCCAGTTGATTGAGCCGATCAAGCTGATGGTCAGAAGGCCCGCGTGTTTCGATCATGTTTCCAGCCACGAGAGCGTGAAAGGCAATCTCGATTACGTTTGTGTTTTTTCGTTTGTTTGCGAATGTGGTAGCTGATTCCTGGCTGGTTCCGATACTCGTCGATTCGTGGTGCGCATGAGTGGCCATGAACAGTACGATGGAGGTCAGTGTCAGTGCTTGTTTCTTGATTTGCATCCGGAGTCGTGTTGTACTGTGTCCACATCCCTATCGACGCAGTGGCCTGTGTCTGATGACCTTGTCGTAGTGCTCGAACTTGTCGTAGTGTTCAAGCTTCAATCTGGCGTCCGATATCGATGATAGTGTTGACGTCTATCACTGATACTCTCTAAGCCATGTTTGGTGGAAAGTTCAAAGTGGAATGCAAGTGTTCGCTTTGGGATATTGCAAAGGGTACGGCAATTCATAGCCTTGTTACAGCTACAAGAAAGTATGGACCACTGTGCCAGAAATGGAGGATCAGTCGGAGCAAGTCATATAGTGGAGCATAAGTCAATACTAGTAAGAGGGAACGTCAAACGAACAAGCGGGTCGGGAACGTCTGAACCGCGAAGAGTGGATCGGGGCAAATTGATCGAGGCGAGTTGACCAAACGCGTGCATCTCTACTCGTAATGAGGTGAGGCTGGTTCTGAGACGTGCTGCAACATCTCGGAAGCTTGCAGCGCCAAGCTTGCATCGAGCCGTTGCACTCAACACAAAAGGTGTCGAGCGTGTTTCAATGGATGCGATATGCTTGAACCAATGTGGCGACCTCAGAACAAACATTGGACGAACTCACCAGGAGCCGTTGAGAAAAGCCGAGGCTGAATGAGCATGCCGATTTCCATTTGATTGGCCCCGTACATTTTCGCAGTCGCGCCTTCTGTTCTGTTCCGTCCGTGTGAGAGTGCGGCAGGTTGCAAGCGTGTCGATGGGTGTTCGTTGATGTGTGACGTCCACATCCATCCCCAGCCGCCACCGTATCCACCCCAGCCACCACCGTGCCCAACCCAGGACGCCTCCATCCATAGCCTCCCCAGCGATGTCCCCATCCCGGTCGTCCCCACCACTCCTTGACCTTCTTGCTGTCATCGTCGACATCATGCTCCGTGTTGGCAGCTGCAGTAGCAGCCTCCATAGGAGAAGAGGATTGTTGCTTGGTCGGGTCGGAAGCAAGTGTGTCGGCAATGGGTGCAGTTGGCTCCTGTGCGGCAAGTGCTCGAGAGGCCGGCTGGTAGTCTTCAGCGGATGCGACGCTTACATGGTGGCGGCGCAGTGATGGCGAGAGCGATGATCTTCATGGTCGAGTTCGTCTCAAGTCGCTTGATCGGTCGGGGTCTGGTCGGTCGGTCAATTCGATACACTTCCTTTGCTGCGTGGTGCACTGGCAGTGTCAATTGGATTGTGGAGTGAGGGGGATCGGTAGACGAGCTCACGAGTGGGCTGGTGTTGTGACGAATAAATGGTCACGGAACTCGTCATGGTGACTGCTTCCAGTTGGATTGATTGATCGCTTGATGGTTGGAAGGCCCGCGTGTTTCGATCATGTTTCCAGCCACGAGCGTGAAAGGCAAATTCTCAGTCACAGTTTGTGTTTGTCCGTTTGTTTGCGAATGTGGTAGCTGACTCCTGGCTGGTTCCGATACTCGTCGATTCGTGGGTATGCTACGAGGTGAGCCACGAACAGCACGATGGAGGTCAGTAAAGTCAGTGTTTGTTTCTTGATTTGCATCGGAGTCGTTGTACTGAGTCTAATCGTATTGACGTAGTGGTCAGAGCTGATGACCTTTGTCGTAGTGCTCAACCTTGTCGTAGTGTTCAATTTCAACCTGGCGACCGATATCGATGACAGTGTTGATGTCTATCGATACTCTCAAAGCATGTTTGGTGGAAATGAAGTGGAATGCAAGTGTTTGCTTTGGGATATTGCAAAGGGTACGGCAATTCATAGCGCTTGGTTTACAACTACAAGAAAGTATGGCAATCACTGTGCAGAAATGGAGCGATCGAATGGAGCAAGTCACTATCAGTTGGAGCAAGTCAATACCAGTAAGAAGGAACGTGTCAATACGAACAAACGGGTCGGAACGTGTGAATCAGAAGATTTGATCGAGGCAAATTGATCGAGCCGAGTTGATCTAAAACGTGTGTATCTTATCGTAATGAGGGGGAGGCTGCTATGACGTGTGCTGCAACATCTCGGAAGCTTGCAGCGCCAGCTTGCATCGAGCCGGTTGCACTCAACACGAGAGGTAGTCGAGCGTGTGTTTCATTGACGCGATATATGTTGAACCAATGTGGCGACCAGAACAACATTGGACGAACCCAGAGCGTTGGAGAAGCAAAGCGAAGGCTGAATGAGCATGCCGATTTCCATTTGATTGGCCATTGCAGTCGCCTTGTTCTGTTCCGTCCGTGTGAGAGTGCGGCAGGGTTGCAAGCGTGTCGATGGTGTCGTTGACATGTGTGACGTCTACCATCCCCAGCCGCCACCGTACCACCCCCAGCCACCACCGCATCACCACCCCAGGGACGCCTCCATCCATAGCCTCCCCAGCGATGTCCCCATCCCGGTCGTCCCCACCCACCCCCCTTGACCTTCTTGCTGTCATCGTCGACATCATGCTCCGTGTTGGCAGCTGCGGTGAGCAGCCTCCATAGGAGAGAGAGGAGTTGTTGCTTGGTCGGGTCGGAAGCAAGTGTGTCGGCAATGGGGTGCAGTTGGTCTCCTGTGCGGCAAGTGCTCCGGAGAGCCGGCTGGTAGTCTTCAGCGGATGCGACGCTTGCTACGGTGGCTAGCGCAGTGATGGCGAGAGCGAAGATCTTCATGGTCGAGTTCGTCTGTCGCTTGATCGGTCGGTCGGTCGGTCGGTCAATTCGATAACTTCCTTGCTGCGTGGTGCACTGGCAGTGTCAATTGGATTGTGAGTGAGTGGGATCGGTAGACGAGCTCGCGAGTGGGCTGGTGTTGTGAAGAATAAATGGTCACGAACCATCATGGTGACTGCTTCAGTTGATTGAGTTGATCAAGCTGATAGTTGGAAGGCCCGCGTGTTTCGATCATGTTTCCAGCCACGAGCGTGAAAGGCAATTTCGCGTCACGTTTGTGTTTGTCCGTTTCTTAGCGAATGTGGTAGCTGACTCCTGGCTGGTTCCGATACTCGTCGATTCGTGGTGCATGCTACGAGGTGGCCACGAACAGTACGATGGAGGTCGGTGTCAGTGCTTGTTTCTTGATTTGCGTCGGGAGTCGTGTTGTACTGTGTCCACATCCGTATCGACGCTGTGGCCAGAGCTGGTAACCTTGTCGTAGTGCTCAACCTTGTCGTAGTGTTCAATTTCAACCTGGCGACCGATATCGATGACAGTGTTGACGTCTATCGATACTCTCAATGCATGGTTGGTGGAAATGAAGTGGAATGCAAGCGTCTGCTTTGGGATATTGCAAAGGGTACGGCAATTCATAGCGCTTGGTTTACAACTACAAGAAAGTATGGCAATCACTGTGCAGAAATGGAGCGATCGAATGGAGCAAGTCAATATCAGTAGGAGCAAGTCAATATCAGTAAGAAGGAACGTGTCAATACGAACAAGCGGGTCGGAATGTGTGAATCAGAAGATTTGATCGAGGCCAAATTGATCGAGGCGAGTTGATCTGAACGTGTGTATCTTATCGTAATGAGGGGGAGGCTGTCTGCGACGTGCTGCAACATCTCGGAAGCTTGCAGCGCCAAGCTTGCATCGAGCCGTTGCACTCAACACAAAAGGTAGTCGAGCGTGTGTTTCATTGACGCGATATGTTGAACCAATGTGGCGACCAGAACAACATTGGACGAACTCAGAGCGTTGGAGAACAAAGCGAGGCTGAATGAGCATGCCGATTTCCATTTGATTGGCTACATTGCAGTCGCCTTGTTCTGTTCCGTCCGTGTGAGAGTGCGGCAGGTTGCAAGCGTGTCGATGGTGTCGTTGATGTGTGACGTCTACCATCCCCAGCCGCCACCGTATCCACCCCAGCCACCACCGTACCCACCCCAGGGACGCCCCCATCCATAGCCTCCCCAGCGATGTCCCCATCCCGGTCGTCCCCACCACTCCTTGGCCTTCTTGCTGTCATCATCGACATCATGCTCCGTGATGGCAGCTGCAGTAGCAGCCTCCACAGGAGAAGAGGATTGTTGCTTGGTCGGGTCGGAAGCAAGTGTGTCGGCAATGGGTGCAGTTGGCTCCTGTGCGGCAAGTGCTCGGAGAGCCGGCTGGTAGTCTTCAGCGGATGCGACGCTTGCTACGGTGGCTAGCGCAGTGATGGCGAGAGCGAAGATCTTCATGGTCGAGTTCGTCTGTCGCTTGGTCGGTCGGTCAGTCGAGTCGATAACTTCCTCGCTGCGTGGTGCACTGGCAGTGTCAATTGGATAGTGAGTTAGTGGGATCGGTAGACGAGCTCGCGAGTAGGCTGGTGTTGTGAAGAATAAATGGTCACGAACCATCATGGTGACTGCTTCAGTTGATTGAGTTGATCAAGCTGATAGTTGGAAGGCCCGCGTGTTTCGATCATGTTTCCAGCCACGAGCGTGAAAGGCAATTTCGAGTCACGTTTGTGTTTGTCCGTTTGTTTGCGAATGTGGTAGCTGATTCCTGGCTGGTTCCGATACTCATCGATTCGTGGTGCATGCTACGAGGTGGCCACGAACAGTACGATGGAGGTCGGTGTCAGTGCTTGTTTCTTGATTTGCATCGGGAGTCGTGTTGTACTGTGTCCACATCCGTATCGACGCTGTGGCCAGAGCTGGTAACCTTGTCGTAGTGCTCAACCTTGTCGTAGTGTTCAACACCAGCTTCAATCTGGCGTCCGATATCGATGACAGTGTTGACGTCTATCGATACTCTCAATGCATGTTTGGTGGAAATGAAGTGGAATGCAAGTGTTTGCTTTGGGATATTGCAAAGGGTACGGCAATTCATAGCGCTTGGTTTACAGCTACAAGAAAGTATGGCAATCACTGTGCAGAAATGGAGCGATCGAATGGAGCAAGTCAATATCAGTAGGAGCAAGTCAATATCAGTAAGAAGGAACGTGTCAATACGAACAAGCGGGTCGGAATGTGTGAATCAGAAGATTTGATCGAGGCCAATTGATCGAGGCGAGCTGATCTAAACGTGTGCATCTTTTCGTAATGAGGGGGAGGCTGTCTACGACGTGCTGCAACATCTCGGAAGCTTGCAGCGCCAAGCTTGCATCGAGCCGTTGCACTCAACACAAAAGGTAGTCGAGCATGTGTTTCATTGACGCGATATGTTGAACCAATGTGGCGACCAGAACAACATTGGACGAACTCAGAGCGTTGGAGAACAAAGCGAGGCTGAATGAGCATGCCGATTTCCATTTGATTGGCTACATTGCAGTCGCCTTGTTCTGTTCCGTCCGTGTGAGAGTGCGGCAGGTTGCAAGCGTGTCGATGGTGTCGTTGATGTGTGACGTCTACCATCCCCAGCCGCCACCGTATCCACCCCAGCCACCACCGTACCCACCCCAGGGACGCCCCCATCCATAGCCTCCCCAGCGATGTCCCCATCCCGGTCGTCCCCACCACTCCTTGGCCTTCTTGCTGTCATCGTCGACATCATGCTCCGTGTTGGCAGCTGCAGCAGCAGCCTCCACAGGAGAAGAGGATTGTTGCTTGGTCGGGTCGGAAGCAAGTGTGTCGGCAATGGGTGCAGTTGGCTCCTGTGCGGCAAGTGCTCGGAGAGCCGGCTGGTAGTCGTCAGCGGATGCGACGCTTGCTACGGTGGCTAGCGCAGTGATGGCGAGAGCGGTGATCTTCATGGTCGAGTTCGTCTGTCGCTTGATCGGTCGGTCGGTCGGTCGAGTCGATAACTTCCTCGCTGCGTGGTGCACTGGCAGTGTCAATTGGATAGTGAGTGAGTGGGATCGGTAGACGAGCTCGCGAGTGGGCTGGTGTTGTGACGGGTAAATGGTCACGAACCGTCATGGTGACTGCTTCAGTTGATTGAGTTGATCAAGCTGATGGTTGGAAGGCCCGCGTGTTTCGATCATGTTTCCAGCCACGAGCGTGAAAGGCAATTTCGAGTCACGTTTGTGTTTGTCCGTTTGTTTGCGAATGTGGTAGCTGATTCCTGGCTGGTTCCGATACTCATCGATTCGTGGTGCATGCTACGAGGTGGCCACGAACAGTACGATGGAGGTCGGTGTCAGTGCTTGTTTCTTGATTTGCATCGGTAGTCGTGTTGCACTGTGTCCACATCCGTATCGACGCTGTGGCCAGAGCTGGTAACCTTGTCGTAGTGCTCAACCTTGTCGTAGTGTTCAACACCAGCTTCAATCTGGCGTCCGATATCGATGACAGTGTTGACGTCTGTCGATACTCTCAATGCATGTTTGGTGGAAATGAAGTGGAATGCAAGCGTTTGCTTTGGGATATTGCAAAGGGTACGGCAATTCATAGCGCTTGGTTTACAGCTACGAGAAAGTATGGCAATCACTGTGCAGAAATGGAGCGATCGAATGGAGCAAGTCAATATCAGTAGGAGCAAGTCAATATCAGTAAGAAGGAACGTGTCAATACGAACAAGCGGGTCGGAATGTGTGAATCAGAAGATTTGATCGAGGCCAAATTGATCGAGGCGAGTTGATCTAAACGTGTGTATCTTATCGTAATGAGGGGGAGGCTGTCTGCGACGTGCTGCAACATCTCGGAAGCTTGCAGCGCCAAGCTTGCATCGAGCCGTTGCACTCAACACAAAAGGTAGTCGAGCATGTGTTTCATTGACGCGATATGTTGAACCAATGTGGCGACCAGAACAACATTGGACGAACTCAGAGCGTTAGAGAACAAAGCGAGGCTGAATGAGCATGCCGATTTCCATTTGATTGGCTACATTGCAGTCGCCTTGTTCTGTTCCGTCCGTGTGAGAGTGCGGCAGGTTGCAAGCGTGTCGATGGTGTCGTTGATGTGTGACGTCTACCATCCCCAGCCGCCACCGTATCCACCCCAGCCACCACCGTACCCACCCCAGGGACGCCCCCATCCATAGCCTCCCCAGCGATGTCCCCATCCCGGTCGTCCCCACCACTCCTTGGCCTTCTTGCTGTCATCGTCGACATCATGCTCCGTGTTGGCAGCTGCAGCAGCAGCCTCCACAGGAGAAGAGGATTGTTGCTTGGTCGGGTCGGAAGCAAGTGTGTCGGCAATGGGTGCAGTTGGCTCCTGTGCGGCAAGTGCTCGGAGAGCCGGCTGGTAGTCGTCAGCGGATGCGACGCTTGCTACGGTGGCTAGCGCAGTGATGGCGAGAGCGGTGATCTTCATGGTCGAGTTCGTCTGTCGCTTGGTCGGTCGGTCAGTCGAGTCGATAACTTCCTCGCTGCGTGGTGCACTGGCAGTGTCAATTGGATAGTGAGTTAGTGGGATCGGTAGACGAGCTCGCGAGTAGGCTGGTGTTGTGACGAATAAATGGTCACGAACCATCATGGTGACTGCTTCAGTTGATTGAGTTGTTTAAGCTGATGGTCGGAAGGCCCGCGTGTTTCGATCATGTTTCCAGCCACGAGCGTGAAAGGCAATTTCGAGTCACGTTTGTGTTTGTCCGTTTGTTTGCGAATGTGGTAGCTGATTCCTGGCTGGTTCCGATACTCATCGATTCGTGGTGCATGCTACGAGGTGGCCACGAACAGTACGATGGAGGTCGGTGTCAGTGCTTGTTTCTTGATTTGCATCGGTAGTCGTGTTGCACTGTGTCCACATCCGTATCGACGCTGTGGCCAGAGCTGGTAACCTTGTCGTAGTGCTATACCTTGTCGTAGTGTTCAACACCAGCTTCAATCTGGCGTCCGATATCGATGACAGTGTTGACGTCTGTCGATACTCTCAATGCATGTTTGGTGGAAATGAAGTGGAATGCAAGCGTCTGCTTTGGGATATTTCAAAGGGTACGGCAATTCATAGCGCTTGGTTTACAGCTACGAGAAAGTATGGCAATCACTGAGCAGGAATGGAGAGATCGAATGGAGCAAGTCAGTATCAGTTGGAGCAAGTCAGTACCAGTAAGAAGGAACGTGTCAATACGAACAAACGGGTCGGAACGTGTGAATCAGAAGATTTGATCGAGGCAAATTGATCGAGGCGAGTTGATCTAAACGTGTGTATCTTATCGTAATGAGGGGGAGGCTGTCTGCGACGTGCTGCAACATCTCGGAAGTATGCAGCGCCAAGCTTGCACCGAGCCGTTGCACTCAACACAAAAGGTAGTCGAGCATGTGTTTCATTGACGCGATATGTTGAACCAATGTGGCGACCAGAACAACATTGGACGAACTCAGAGCGTTAGAGAACAAAGCGAGGCTGAATGAGCATGCCGATTTCCATTTGATTGGCTACATTGCAGTCGCCTTGTTCTGTTCCGTCCGTGTGAGAGTGCGGCAGGTTGCAAGCGTGTCGATGGTGTCATTGATGTGTGACGTCTACCATCCCCAGCCGCCACCGTATCCACCCCAGCCACCACCGTAGCCACCCCAGGGACGCCCCCATCCATAGCCTCCCCAGCGATGTCCCCATCCCGGTCGTCCCCACCACTCCTTGGCCTTCTTGCTGTCATCGTCGACATTATGCTCCGTGTTGGCAGCTGCAGCAGCAGCCTCCACAGGAGAAGAGGATTGTTGCTTGGTCGGGTCGGAAGCAAGTGTGTCGGCAATGGGTGCAGTTGGCTCCTGTGCGGCAAGTGCTCGGAGAGCCGGCTGGTAGTCGTCAGCGGATGCGACGCTTGCTACGGTGGCTAGCGCAGTGATGGCGAGAGCGGTGATCTTCATGGTCGAGTTCATCAGTCGCTTGATCGGTCAGTCGTCAGTCGGTCGGTCGGTCGAGTCAATAACTTCCTCGCTGCGTGGTGCACTGGCAGTGTCAATTGGATAGTGAGTGAGTGGGATCGGTAGACGAGCTCACGAGTGGGCTGGAGTTGTGACGGGTAAATGGTCACGAACCGTCATGGTGACTGCTTCAGTTGATTGAGTTGATCAAGCTGATGGTCGGAAGACCCGCGTGTTTCGATCATGTTTCCAGCCACGAGCGTGAAGGGCTATTTCGTGTCACGTTTGTGTTTGTCCGTTTCTTTGCGAATGTGGTAGCTGATTCCTGGCTGGTTCTGATACTCATCGATTCGTGGTGCATGCTACGAGGTGACCACGAACAGTACGATGGAGGTCGGTGTCAGTGCTTGTTTCTTGATTTGCGTCGGGAGTCGTGTTGTACTGTGTCCACATCCGTATCGACGCTGTGGCCAGAGCTGGTAACCTTGTCGTAGTGCTCAACCTTGTCGTAGTGTTCAACACCAGCTTCAATCTGGCGACCGATATCGATGACAGTGTTGACGTCTATCGATACTCTCAATGCATGTTTGGTGGAAATGAAGTGGAATGCAAGTGTTTGCTTTGGGATATTGCAAAGGGTACGGCAATTCATAGCGCTTGGTTTACAGCTACGAGAAAGTATGGCAATCACTGTGCAGAAATGGAGCGATCGAATGGAGCAAGTCAATATCAGTAGGAGCAAGTCAATATCAGTAAGAGCGAACGTGTCAATACGAACAAGCGGGTCGGAATGTGTGAATCAGAAGATTTGATCGAGGCCAATTGATCGAGGCGAGTTGATCTAAACGTGTGTATCTTATCGTAATGAGGGGGAGGCTGTCTGCGACGTGCTGCAACATCTCGGAAGCTTGCAGCGCCAAGCTTGCATCGAGCCGTTGCACTCAACACAAAAAGGTAGTCGAGCATGTGTTTCATTGACGCGATATGTTGAACCAATGTGGCGACCAGAACAACATTGGACGAACTCAGAGCGTTAGAGAACAAAGCGAGGCTGAATGAGCATGCAGATTTCCATTTGATTGGCTACATTGCAGTCGCCTTGTTCTGTTCCGTCCGTGTGAGAGTGCGGCAGGTTGCAAGCGTGTCGATGGTGTCGTTGATGTGTGACGTCTACCATCCCCAGCCGCCACCGTATCCACCCCAGCCACCACCGTATCCACCCCAGGGACGCCCCCATCCATAGCCTCCCCAGCGATGTCCCCATCCCGGTCGTCCCCACCACTCCTTGGCCTTTTTGCTGTCATCGTCGACATCATGCTCCGTGTTGGCAGCTGCAGCAGCAGCCTTCACAGGAGAAGAGGATTGTTGCTTGGTCGGGTCGGAAGCAAGTGTGTCGGCAATGGGTGCAGTTGGCTCCTGTGCGGCAAGTGCTCGGAGAGCCGGCTGGTTGTAACGGGGCACCCTGAAGCTTGTACTGGTGACAGTACAAGCTACTTATTCTGATAACAGAATAAGGCGGTGCCTCGTAACTTCACGTACACTCGTACGTGCAGAGGAAGACGGTAAGAAGAAGCGAGTACTCGGTTAGAGTAAAAAGTAGAACTGTATTTATAATAGTTAATGTCTGCAATAAATCACTATTTATCTTCATCTAACTATGTCTAAATACAAATGTGTAAATCAGTTATCTGCTCACCACTCATTGCGTGCGTCTGTCGTGGCGCGTCTTCGTTGGTTGATATAATGGCCTATATCAACCAATTAGGAACTACTTGGAAGTGCTACAGAATATTGTCCTTATGACAATATTCTGAGAATATAACTCTTATAGTTATATTCTATTAACAATTTCTTATAAATTGTTATGTAACGATTCACCCCGTTACATCACCCCCCTTAACCATCAGTCACTTTAGTGACTGATTGACTAAATGGATACTCGTCCCAAATCATTTGGGACGGGGTTTGCACTTGTTGGTCCGCGTCCACTTTCCAACATCTCATCGCATGGTAAACAAGCCCATGCGATGCGCGAGGCAAGGCCGCCGAGAGCGCGTCTGCACGTCTCTGTGCGGACGCCGAAGCAGAAACTACAGCAACTGATATCCCATCGGTTGCTGAATCGACTCAGCCTGTATCACCTGGTGATGCAGGCGCTGGTCATGAAGACACTCGTGTCTTCACAGAGTACGAGCTCGGTGTCTCGTACTCTCCTGATACGGATGACGGATCCGTATCGACGGCAATTGAATCCAAGCCGCCTGCCAAGCGTGGCATGGACGATGCTTTGCGTCGCAGCATCTTTGGTTCATCTGATGAGTCAGATGAACCATCGCCGAAGCGAAGGCGCTCGAGGTCGCGAGACTCGGGCGCTAATAGTGGTGTCGTTTCTCCAATGGACACCACTTCACAGCGAGGTGCCAGTACTTCTGTCGGCACGTCGCAGGAAGAGCGGGACCGCAATGTCTTGCGTCTCGCTCCAGAAAAGAAGGCATGGATGCCTCCTAAATCTGTCATGGATCACTTGTCGGCGACGACGAGTGATCGTTATCGAACACGATTGTTCGATTCGTCAAGAGATTCATCACCTTGACCCCAGCGCGAAAGACTATCGCGCTGAACATGAGGTTCTTCATCGATGCTTTCTTCAGACATCGATGGTACAGTGGGAATCACAAACGTGATGGTCCCTCACTACTTCAGGCGTGGAACGCCTACATCCATAATCTCGAGGATGTAGGTCGTGACGCTTGGAACGACAAACTTATCAAAGCTCGTGATAAGTTTGAAAAGCGAACCCCGACAGGTGCACGCTACAAGCTGCATCGTCTGTCAAGGGAGAAAGGATTACCCTGCCTCTCTTGGGGAGACTCGTGCCCATGTTGTGTGAACAACTCTGCACGAGCACCTAAGGAGGCTTACCTCCTTACCAGCCCGTGGTGGCGCGTACGTGTCTCTACTGAGATGTACGAAGGGATTGACAACCTGAAATCCCTTTACGACCGTGCCGGGAAGACTTTCTCCGGCGGTCCTTCTGCGGCACAGGATGTGCCGCGTCGTACTGCTCAACCAGACCCAGTACGTCGATCATCAGTTGGGAGCGGGGCTCCCAAGAATCCCAGGACGGGGGATAGCCGCGCCACCGGACGAGATAACTCGTCCGACGTCCGTCCACGTCGCGGTGGTTCAACAGCTGCTCAACTAGATAGCGCTGGCCACCGCGAGAGTCCTCTAATGGAGGTGGAGGAGGAGGAAAGACGCTCTCCACACGATCATGTGGATCGGTGTGTTCCCGAGAGCTTTGATCGCGTAACGCAAGGGTTACGCGACGATCTCGAGCATGAGCGGAATAGGCGTCTCCAGATGGTGGACACTGCCTCGAAGCATCGAGCTGAGTTTGCCTTTGCTCAGCTTGAGAACGAGAGATCTCTGACATCTCTTCGTGACGAGCTAAGGGTAGCTCGTGGGATTGTTGATCGGTCTCGGGCTGAGATAACTGCTCTTCAGACCCTTGTTGATGCCCACCATCGGGAGCACAAGGCTCTCTGCGAGATGCTTGAGCGCAAGGGCGTTCTTCATCGGAAGAAGCAGCGTACTGATGGTACGGCTTAAGCCGACCAACGTAAAACGTGGGATGCGTTCGCATCTTACGTGGTAACTCGATCGTGTATGCATTGCCTAGGCGGTGCAATACACGAAATGGGCCAATGTACTTGGGTAGTAGTTTACTGCTACCCAAGTTAGTCACTACATGTTTTGGTAGATTAACCGTAGACAGTAGGACTAAGTCACCTTTATTAAATAAAAGAGTGTTTGCCCTTCCATTCTTGTCAGCGTTTTGCTTTTGCTTATCCACCGCTTCGGCGATGGAGTCTTGCACAAAACGGACTACCGTTTCACGAGCCAGTATGAACTCATCTGATGACTCGTTAGCTTCAGTGTGCTGTGAGCGCACTGCAGCAACAACAACCTTTTCTTCAGTGAGGGCTTCCGCACTCTCACTGGCATCATTGTCTTCAGTGAGGGCTTCCGCACTCTCCACTGGCATCATCTTCTTCGATATCGATGTTATCGATATCGGCATCAAACGCAATGACTTCTTCGTCAGAGCGTGATGAGCGTGAACCAAATCGGTTTTTGCTCGCGCGAGTCCCTCCCCCCTTAAACCAGAGTTACACTCTAGTAAGGTGGGTACACGCGGATGGCGCAAGCCATTCACGTAAAACGGTGTATGTGTCGTGGACGCATGCACCGAGTTGTTGATGGCAAACTCTACCATTGGCAAAACTCACTCCAACTTTTAAAAGGAGTGTACGTATCCTCGAAGTATCTCTTCGAGGACACGGTTGGCACGTTCCGTCTGACCATCTGACTCTGGATGATCAGATGTTGACATCTTCAAGCGCGTTCCGAGTGATTTGAACACGGAACGCCAGAAATCAGCAGTGAATCGTGGATCTCTGTCTGATACGAGTTCACGGGGCAACCCATGAAGTCGGAAGATGGTGTCAATAAAGACACAAGCACAGCCACTTGCCGTGATTGTCTCTGGTACAGCCACAAGGTGTACCATTTTGCTGAATCTGTCAACAAATACGAGAATACCCGTATTCCCGCGTGCGTCTTTTGGGTAACCCTGAAGACGAAATCCATTGAGATGGATTCCCAGCACTCAGCCGGAACCGGTAGAGGCTGTAAAGGTGCACGCAGTGAAGGACTTGACTTCACTCGTTGGCAGACTCGCATGCGCGAACATACTTTCGCACAAACTGATACTGGCGGGGCCAGTAAAAGTCTCGACTTACCGTGAGATATGTTTTCTCTCGGCCACGATGTCCTCCTATAGGAGCATCGTGATACTTCGAACATGATCCGCAAACGCAGATCAGTATCATCTGGAATGACAACACGTGGTGTGTCACCAGAAACGGCTGTATAGTACAGTAAACCGTTACGAGTAGTGTATCGATCTGATGCAGATCGATACGCAGACGACAATCGTTTCAACGATTCTCGAGATGGTTGGGAGAGATGTGACAACAACTTCACTATCTCACCATCTTGGGCGTATGCCCGCCTCACATCATCATACAACGTTGTAGATGGAACTGAGGACGTCATAACCGCAACAGTGACTGTCTCACTGTTGGGTTTCGCGACTGTTTCCAAAGTCGGGACGACGTGAGAGTGCATCAGCGACGACATTAAGTCGTCCTGGTTTGTACTCGACCGTAAAGTTGTATTCTGCAAAGAATGACAACCACCGCGCCATTCGTTGTGAAAGGTGCGGGCTGTTCACTGCCGTGCGTAAGGACGCATGGTCAGTGTAAACAACGAAGGGTCTATCTCCTAATAGATAGACTCTGAACTTCGCTAGTGCATACTTCATGGCAAGGAGTTCCTTGTCATGCACTGGATAGTTCCGCTCAGCTGGTTGCAGCTGACGCGACTGATAGCAGACGACGCGTTCAACGCCTTCAAGGTCGTACTGCATTAATGCACAGCCGATTGCGAAATCGCTGGCATCACAGACCACATGAAATGGCCTGTCCTGATCGGCTATTGCTAGGACTGGGGATTGTATCAAGCTCTGCTTGATACCCTCAAAGGAGCGTTGACATTCAGCGTTCCATAACCACCTCTCGTTCTTTTTCAACAAACGAGAGAGGTGCACAGTCATCTCGGCGTAATTGCGTGAATACTTATGCAAATACGCCGCTAGCCCAAGGAATTTTCGAAGACCTTTGACATCGACCGGCACAGGCCAGTCGGTGATCGCCTTGATCTTTTCGGGATCAGGACGTACACCGTTCTTACCAACGATGCACCCAAGAAGTGGTATTTCGCTTGCTGCAAAAATACACTTCTTGAGGTTTGCATACAATTGATGCTTTCGCATGATTGTAAGAACTTGTCGGACGTGGTACTTGTGAACCTCAACGTCCGACTTTCCATCCATAGCTCGACTATGGATGAATACGTCATCGAAATAACTCGGCGCGAATTCTCGTACTGGCCTCAACAGATGTGATACACACCTGTTGAACGTGGCAGGGGGCATTACTGAGCCCTTGTGGCATTACTAGCCATTCCCAGAGCATGCCGCTAGGCGTGCTAACTGCGGTATAGGGTATATCCCGTTCCCGCATTAGGATTTGATAGAAGCCATCCATCAAATCCATGGACGAAAAGATGGTACTCTTTGACATACCATCAATGATTACGTCCTTCCTCGGTATCGGCGTCTGAGCCGGTACCGTTGCAGCGTTCAATTTGTTGAACGCGTGCACTATCCGCCACCCTCCTGTTGCTTTTCGCACACAGAAGGTCGGAGAGCTATGTGGGGAAGTTGATTCCCTCACATGGCCCGCTGCTAAACGATCGGCAAAGAACTTGTCGATCGCAAGTACTTGTTCACGAGGCAGTGGCCACTGCTTCATGACACAGTACTTCGAGCCTGGTTTAAGCTCGACTTCGTGTCGAATACCTTTATCCTTCGGTAATTCGCACGGAACAGTTTCAGGGAATACATCCTTGAATTCAACCAAATCTTCATAGAGAGGATTTTCCTTGAGCGATTCCCATGATTGGGACTCATATCGCTCAATTCGTGTCTTTTCATCTAGGACACTCTCGTCCATAGATGAACTACTGAGAACTCTCTCGTTCTCAGTAAACACTGTTGCTGACCTTATGTCGGTTACACACTCGTCGTCAGCGACGAGTATGCAGATCTGCTTGACTTTGCCACTACGCAGATCACGCAAGAACCTTTTATGTTCGAGCGTTGGCAACTGAGTGATCTCCGAAGTTAACTTCGGAGGCGCAATCAGATCAAGTGTATAAGCGCCTACACATGATCCGTTATTGACTATGACATTCAATGTCTCTGTCATTTCCTGGGGACTTATTCCCTCAGGCTTCGAAGGACTTATTCCTTCGTCTTCCCGGGGACTTATTCCCGCGGGTTTCGGGGAACTTATTTCCGCCGTATTTGTAATCTTGGGACTTATTCCCTTTACTTCCTCTAGCTGGGGTTGCGCAACCACAGCGAGATCCTCTACGAAAGACTCTCCAGTCGATCTAGGATTATCGTTTCGCTTAACCTGAGCGATCGATTGTTTCTCTTCTAGATGTTCCCCTCTAGGGATACATCTTTGTCCCAGTCCACCCGACTTATTCGAGTGGTGGACCTTCGGCGCAGCCTGTGTTTCCTCACAGCCGCCGGAACTTTGCTCCGAAGTGTAACCGTTTGGTACACTAAGGTTTTGTGCAGTCGTACTAACGACCGTACCACAAGTGAGGCCATCGCACTCACTCGTAGTACATCCACACGCTTGTGGACGCTCCAAAACGTTCATCAGATGGCCATCTGATGAACAAGCGGCAGGCATCGTTACTGTCCGATGTTGCCAGTTTACCCGTGGTTCGTACCTTCTGAGCCACAGTATTCCAAGGATGACATCAAATTTGTCATCCAAATCCAATACGATAAAGTCATCGTCGTATTGGGTATCTTCTAGCGTATAGTGAATCTTCACTATACGCTTCATGATTGGTTACGGATGCGCCTGTCGCAAGACGTACCGTCATCCTCGTAGGAGGTGTGTCACATTCACTGAATTTAAAGTGACCATCTTCTAGCGATTGGCGTCGCACAAAATTGTTGGACGCCCCACAATCGACTAGAGCTCGAAGGGACAACTTATTCGTCACTTCGAGTTTCAAGGTAATGAGTGAGACCTCATTACCTAGAGCAGCAACGCACAATGTCTGTGTGTTGGGAGCAACCTTCATCAAGAGGCCTACAAATTCTCTTGACGTTGCTGGATCAGTAGGGTGCTCCGCACCTACTGATCCTGTCCGTTTTTTGACGGTCCATCCCGTTGCTGCGTCTTTGCACCAACTGCGGACCCTCGTCCCTGCCCCTTTCTCATGGGTGGACGGTCACTACGCCCAGTGTTGCGAGACACTGGACGAGGGGCACTACACTCGTAAGCGTAGTGTCCTGTCTTCTGACATCTGTTGCATCTCTGCAACTTCTTGTAGCCTGTAGAGCGAACCTTCTCGCTCTCTACATAACAGAGTTCCATCGGCTCTGGACCTCCGTTGTCATATCGTCTCGGTTGACGATATGATGTCGAGCTGGCGCGAGCCTGTCTCAGACTGAAGTCTTCCTGCTCCGCAATGGAAATGGCTTGTTCTAGTGAATCTAGTTCAAGCCGGAACAGGTGAGTCTTGACGGGACCATCCGCAAGACCCTGCATGAACACCGAAACCAACGTGTGTTCATCCACTGGATTGGAACTTATACAACTCGTAAGATGTCGTATATGTTGAGCGTAAGCGTGCACATCACGCTTACCCTGCTTGAGCTTCAAGAGTTCGGTTCGAGCTCTGAACTCAGCTCTAGGCGGTTCAAACGTTTGTCTGAGCCGCGACTTGAAGACTTCCAACGACCCAAACGCATATGGGTCGTGCAGCTTGAGCCCCAGTGCCCAAGTCTTGGCACGTCCTGCCAGATTTGATTGGGCAAATGCAACTTGCATATCCCCGTCGTCGATGCGACGCGCCCTTATAGCGTCGTCCAATTCGACGAACCATCTCAAGAG